CCCCATTCTAACCCCTTCCCCAGAGTCCCCGCCCCGACTCCACCCCCTCCCTGCCCCTATTCGACTCATTCCCCAAATCCCCGCCCCGGCCCCGCCTCCTCCCCTGAGCGTGCCACGTTCCTGCTCCTCCCCCCTCTCTCCCGGAGCTTGCTACAGCTGTTTGGCAGGGGCAAGTGCTGGGAGGTAGGCGGAGGAGCAGGGACGTGGTGCACTCAGCGGAGGAGGTGGGGCGGGGCGGGGAGCTTGGCTGCCGGTGGGTGCAGAGCACCCACTGATTTCCCCCCATGGGTGCTCCAGCCCCGGAGCACCCACGGAGTCGGCGCCTGTGCTCCGAGGCAGTTTTCAAGATTAAAGGTTCCCTGTAAATAACGGCGCAAACCCGCCTGGCCTCGCAGTCGGCCCGAGGCCAGCTGCCCACTCACCAGTAACTCCATCAGAAAGGGACCGGGGGTATTTTGTAGGCAGGGGTGTGTGTTCCGCCCGCAGCCTTCAGTGGCCCAGCTAGCGGGGGGATGCTGGGCCCCAGATGTTAGAGGCAACGAGCTGGAAAGGAAGGGGGAGGGCAGAGCCCGGAGCTCAGGCCAGGGGAAGGGCCAGGCTGTGCCCCTGGCTGACTGCGCCAGGCTGGCTTGCGGGCGCGCTGGACCTGTGGGCGCGGGGAGGAGACACTCTCCCTCGCGCTCCTGGCTCGGTCTCATTACGCTGTAGAACAAACATGGCTCCTGTTGCTCCGGGCCCTGCTGTTCCCGCTCCGAGCAGAGGCTGAGTGGCTGCGGGGACAGAGAGACGCCGCCACAGGACACGGATTCCTTTCAATTAACAGCTTCTGGACTGGCTCCCTTTGAGCCCCGGCAGCTCCTGAACTGGATCTTCGGCCACATCACGCAGACGTAGGCGGCGCTGCTGGGCAGGGCGCGCCCATGGACAGTGCCAGGCAGCACCACAGGCTGCGGCGCACACGGTCCTAGGCAGCGCTGCTGGGCAGGGGCATGTAAATCCAGAGGCTCGAAGGCCAGTGCTCAGGGCTGCCTGTTGCCCCTGTTCTCTCCTTCGCAGCCCCCTGCTCTCTGCAGCATCAGTAGCAGCCTGGACTCTGCGTCCTCCCCCATCTACCTCTCCGAGATCGCAGTGCCCTGTCGGGGCAGAGGACCTGGCGGGAGGTAGCCCCAAGTGGCTGTGGGGCCTGGGATGGCGGCATGCGCCGGGGAGCTGGAGCCCTGGGGGGCGGGCAGCCGTTTCCAAAACCACCTTTCAGAGCTAATTTTTTTTCTAGAAACAAAATCAGAGGCACAGACCCAGCCAGCTGAACACACAGCCCCAGACAGCCCCAGGGCACAGAGACCCGCTCACTCCATCCTCCAAAGCCCTCTACAGGCCGGGTGGATCTGGGATCTCCCGCGGGGCTTTAGGGAAATGCCCCAAGCCTTCGCAGTGAGCTCCCTAGGGACAAATGTTGGTTTCTGCATGAGTCTGGGCTTCGTGCAGACGGCACAGAGCTCAGGGCCATGGTTGTGCCCATCTCCCCCAGCCGAGCGGGCCACCCCCAGCCCTGAAAGCTGGCCAGCGAGCGGCTCAGAGAGGCAGGCGTGCCCTGACAGCAGCACAGAAGCTGGTACCTTGGGTTTCTCTCTCCTCCCTTGGAGCTGAACGGATGCAATCTGTTCTGCCTTTGCCAGGTAACTCCTAACCCTTTGAGAGCCGCGCACACAGGTTTGCCTGGAGCAGTCAGGGCCAACAGAGACGCTGGGAAGCCGGAGCTGAAAAGAAAATGAATAGCTGCAAAAGCCGGCTTCTTTACTTCCCCCTCCCTCTGCCTTTGGCTGTGGGCTCTGCTGGCAGCAACGGCCCAGGGCTGGTTCCCTGGGGGCTGCGTGACCTAGCGGGGCTTTCCCAGCCTGCCATGCTCTGGATCAGAAGCCGACAGCAGAGAGGCAGGAGAGATGAGAGCATTGCCGAGGCAGCCTGGCCTGGCTGCAGCATCCAGCGGTGCAGACGAATGAGCCGGCTCTGCGTGGGGAGGCGCTGCAGCCTGCCTGAGCCGCGTGGGATGAGCAAATGGCTGCTGGGGGGTGGCAGGGCCGGGAGAGCACTGAGGCAGACCTGGGCCCAGCTGCAGTACCGGGGGGCGTGGGCAGGCACCGCTGGAGAACTCAATCAGGGAGTTGGGTGGGTTCCGGGCAGGGGTTCCCATTGAGTTGCTTTGGTTCCTTTTGATTCCCTTCGCCCCTTCCTAGTGATTGGCCTCGTGGGCAGCTCCCCTGCACCCCCCCCCTCTCTGGGCACGATCCCCTCCCTAGGGCAGTCTGCTGTGGCTGGGCAAATGCTGGGCTGGCGCAGCACCTGCCTCCCATGTGAATGACACGGCCCGGTGTTGCTATCCGGGTCTCTCGTGGCCTCTGGATTATTAGTCCTACAGGCCCCTCGGTGGGTCGCCAGTAGCGGGGGATTGAACCCCTGAGCCTCCAGAGGAGCCAGAGCACCCCCCGGTGTTCGCGTGGCCACGGATCCTGGCTGGCTGCCCCGCTCTGTGCCCACCGCCGTGCTTTGCTCCCTGTCTGGTCGGGGGAGCCAGAGGCTCAGGTGCTGGGTGGCTCTCCAGAGGGATTCAGCCATGGGACACCCAGCCCCTGGGCTTGGCTGGGGTTGGAGGCAGATCCGAGGCCGTCCTGTGCTGCAGTGAATGGGCAGGGAGCTCGGGGCAGTTCTCGCTGTGTCGGAGGGGAGGGCGGCACTCCCGCAAGCAGCCCGGGGCATTCAGGGCAGCTGTAGGGATACGCAGAGGCAGGCACCCCAGGAGAGCTCCGTCCCCAGGGCTCTCCCCCGGCTGGGCTGGCAACGGGAGGTGAATGGGAAATGTCACATCCAGCTCTCACGTCACACCATCCTTGTCACTGCTGTGTCCCAGCGCCTGCCGCGCTCCCTGCTAACGGGCCGGTGCACGGTCAGTCTGCGGGCTAGGGGAGGGTCTGGCTTGCGGTTTGGACTGGAGGTTTGAGATCGTCCCTTTGCTGTAATGCATGGCAGAGAGGGGCAGGGTTCTTGTCGAGTGCACCATTGTCTAGTGGTTAGAGCTGGGCTGGGTGTTGGGACTCCTGGGTTCTTTCCCAGCTCTCCTGCAGACTGGCTGGGTGACCCTAGGCAGATCCCCCCCCTCTCTGTACGTGGGTTTTGCCAGCTGTGAAATGGAGGTGACGGTACTGCCCAGCTGCAGTGCCCCGGCACGCCGCGACGCCAGGCACCGGGGGCGGGCGGCACGTTCGTAGATGAGTTCCTGTCTGCCAGCACTACTGGGCAGCACCGCCCTGCTCCTTCCTGTGGGGGGCCCTCCTCGCTCGAAGCCGCCCTGCTCTGCAACGCTCCCGAGCTGGCCGGATTAGCGCCCGCGCTCCCTGCAGAAGTTACTGGCATTTTCATTAAAAATGAAATCAAAAGCCCGCCAGACTGGATGAGGTGGGATGCTCCGAGGTGGGGGAGAGGGGAGACACCTCCAGATGAGAAGGGGAACGTCGGCCCTGCTCACCTGCTGGGGGGCCCCGGCTTTCCCCTGCACGGCATGAGCCCATCAGCTTCCTGCTGCAGTGGGGCTGGGCTGGGCTGCAGGAGAGCGAAGGCTCCGTGGTGGAGGTTTCCAAGGGAGCAGGGTGGGAGCGGCTGCCATCTCTGGGGGGTGTATCTGGAATCATGCAGCTGAGCACGGTCACTGTTGGGACCCGCTATTCCAGCCGTAGGGGCGCCCGTGTTGCTGGTTACAGTCCAGTTCTGTGGTGCCCCCGCTCCCTGCTCCGTGGCCATCTCCCTTCTGCAGGGGGACGGTCGGGAGAATAGACTCAGTGACGGGAAGGCCAGAGGGGGCCCGTATGTTCAGAATGGCTCTAGATCTCCCCCGTGAGTCCTGCTTTGAGCTCAGAACTTCTGTGCAGGTAGATCCCGTAGAGAGAGACCGACGTCCGGTCTTGATTGAGAGATGGAGCCACCCCCCGAAGTGTTCCAGTGGCTAACCTCACTGTTAAAATTGTGTGCCATAGACAGTGGCAAGGAGAGAGAGAGCTGGAGGGGTTATTGCCCTCCAGGCAGTGATGGACAATGGCAGCACCATTGCAATGGGGATGCAGCGTGCAGTGCCAGGCAGCCGACCCGCGATAGCCCTGGCCAGTGGGGCAGGCGGTATTTCCCCACATGGCGTGCCAGGCCCATTGGCCCACAGCTGGGGCGTGCTGCCAGCATCCTGTCCCCTGCGTTCCTCTCGCTATGCTGGTTACCTCTGACCCGGCATCCAGCCACTCGTGCTGCGTGGGGCGAGGGTGCAGTGCACGGCGTGGGGTGCTGGCTTGGCTCGCCCCACAGATCCCCAGCGTGGCCAGGCAGGGCTGTTTGCTTGCTGCAGCGCTGGGAGAGCTCGGCATGGTATGCACAGCCTGTCACCCCGGCCAGCCCTGCAGGCTGCAGAGAGAGAGCTACGAACACGGTGGGCACAGACACAGTCTCCCGCGTGGAACGAAGGCGCTTCCCGGAGACAGCGCAGCTGAGCCTGGGTTCTCTAGGCCTGCCCTGGGCCTGCCAGGCATGTCCCATGAACACGCTCAGGCTGTTCGAGGCAACACGGGGGCTGAGCCGGGACCTGCTAGTGTTAGTGCAGCCAGAGCCCCCGGGGTGCTCCCTGCACGGTCCCTGCTCCGGATTCAGCCCTTGCGCTCTAGCTAACGGTTTCCCCCGACTCCCCCTCCAGCGAGCAGCACCCCTGGGCAGCCGGTTGCCCAGACCCCTCCTCCCGGGTAAGGAGCTGTGCGCTGTGGGACGCAGGCAGCAGGAGAACATCGTAGTGGCGCAGAGGATTCTGGGTTGTTTACAGAAGCAAGTAGGTCAGCGCCTGTCCTGCTTTCTCCTGATGAGCCTGGCTGGGAGGGGCTGAGCAAGGCCTTGCCCGTGGCCCCTTGCAGCCTGGATGGCTCGGCTCAGCGTCCGGCGCCACAGCACACGACCCGGCACACCCGGTCTCGTAGCCGGAGAGGCTGCAGGACTCAGGGGCTGGAGCAAAAGGTCAGGGACCCAGGAGAGGTCCTGGCTGCTCCTTCTGGTTTATTGTTTATATTTCAGTAGCAGCTAGAGGCCAGCCAAGATGGGGCCTCCATTGTGCTGGGCGCAGCACGGACACACAGCCCCTGCCCCGATGGTCCAAACAGGCAAAGGGTGAAAGGGAAACTGAGGCACCGAGCAATGAAGAGCTTTGCCCAAGGTCACCCAGCAGGCTGGTGCTTGGAAGAGAACCCAGCCCCCCTAGATCCCAGTCCAGCGCTCTGTGCACTAGGCTGCACTGCTTTTCAGTCCCGTTTTCGCAGTGGGTTCTTGATCCAAGACATATGGTCAACTGCAGGCCTGGCTGGAGAATTGGGTGCCAAACCGGGGGTGGGGGCCGGGGGGGGGAGAGTTTGGTTAAAAAGCAGAGTCCCTGCCCTTTGGTAATGGCGATTCCCTGGGTCACTGACTTCCTGGGATCCCACTGCCTGTCCCCTGGACCTCCTAGGGTCTCCCCAGAAACCCAGCGCTGCCTTCCAGCTGAGCTGAGCTGGGGCCCTGCTGCTGTAACCCAGGGGGAAATCTCAATCGAGTTCCGCACCAAAGAGCGAATCCCACATCTCCCAGCCCTTGTTGTAGGCCTGGGCTGTGGCGTGGTTCGTGCTGCGCCCTCTGCGGTGTTCTCCTGCGCCAGCCTGCGCTCCGTGGGGAGGGGGCTGACTGCGAGGGTGGTGGGGTCCCCAGACCCTCAGAAACATCCTCTTGGCGCTAACGCGCTAATCTGCACCCGAGGGTCACGGCCTCACCCTGTGCCTTGTCTCCCCAGGTTCTCGGCCCTGCACCACGCTGCTCTCAATGGGAACACAGAGCTCATCTCACTGCTGCTGGAGGCCCAGGCCGCTGTGGACATCAAGGACAATAAAGGCAAGTGCCGGGGTCCCTGCCAGGGGCTGGGAGCTCAGTGCAACCCCAGGGAGCTCCGTAACTGGCCTGGTGACAGCAGTGGTGCCTGGGCCGTGCCCGTCCGGCTGCTCCCAGCAGGGGCCACAGGCTCTCCATGCTGCCAGCCTGATGCCCTAGAGACCCGAGCCCCAGAGCAGGGCAGCCAGCGTGCTGGCGGGACCCCACCGCTGGGGCTGGGTAGGGAGCTCAGGGCTCGTCCGGTGCCAGCGCCCTCACCCCCAGCACACGGGCAGGCCTCAGCAGCACCATTAAGCCGGGAAGCCTGACTCTGCCTTGGCTGTGAGCAGTTCTCGGGCTCCCCCCTGCAGCTTAGGCACCCCCCAGCCCTAGGGGGGATACTGCCCAGAACCTGTCTCCTCGGCTGCCCCCTCCTGCCCCTCTTACCCTGCCCCCTCCTCTCCCTGCCGTGTCACCCCCGCAACGGGTCACTCCACTTCCTGGCCCTGGCCCGGGGCCACGCACGGCTCCGGGGGCAGCCGCTCTGTCGGTTCCTCCCTGGACAGGGCTGGAGGCGGGAGGCACCCACTCAGCCAGGCCTCCCGTGCGGGCTGTGGCCGGGTTGCTGGCTGGGAGGGCACCTCTTGCTCAGCCGGCCGTTCCCCTTCCGTCCCTGCAGGGATGCGGCCCCTGCACTACGCTGCCTGGCAAGGCAAGAAGGAGCCCATGAAAATGGTGCTGAAAGCCGGGTCGGCCGTGAACGTCCAGTCGGACGAGGGGCAGATCCCCCTGCACCTGGCGGCGCAGCACGGGCACTATGACGTGGTAAGGGGGGCCGGGCTCGCTGACCACTCCCGGGGGCCTGGTCCGCGAGCTGGGAGCTGGGCGCCGGGTCAGGACTGGTGGGCTGACAGCGCGGTCAGCCGGCAGCAGCTCCGCAGCATGGGGGAGGCTGGAGGGTGTGGGAGGATGGGGAGCATCTTGGGAGGGGACCCGGCACCCGGGAGCTGGCCACGCCCATGTGGTCAGCTGCCCACCCCAAGCCTGCTTTCTTCCCTTGGGCATTCTGAGCGCTGGCCAGAGGGGCGGGCGGCTGTGTTTCTGAGCGCTGGCCAGGCTCCTGGATCTTCCGGCTCACGTGGGCAGTGGGCGCTGGCTGGCTGGCGCTCTGTGTGTAAGGCGCAGAGGGGGGGTGCCCCCGCCAGAGGGCAGGGGACTGAAGGGTGAGTTGGGATAGCAGCTGGGGCTGGAGGCCTGGCCACATGTATGACAGCTGGTCACCCATCCGGGAGTTTGGTAGGTTTCATTCTCGTCCTGGTGGGACATTTCTCCCTATCCCAGAATCACCCTTCAGTTTGGCATAACTGGTATTTCAAGAAGTCTGGGATAGCAGGGGGCTGTGGGTCAGGATTGAGGGGCACTGGCAGAGCTGGGG